CTGGGTTCATCGATCATTCCTAACGACATATGCAGATCGCGCTCGTTTTTGCGCGCTTGGAATATTTCTTTGTGTACGCACATCACATACAATAATATGCAAAGCGTTGCTAGTTGAGCGGAGAAAAAAAAAACGGACGAGGGTACTTGAGGTCTCTGCATCTTTCCGTTTAAAGGTGATAAATTCGTTATAATTGACTGTAAGCAGTATTATTAATCAAACATTTAATGTGTTGCGCATTGTAAGTGTAATTATTGGATATGACTCTCGGAATTAATCTACGTCGAGAATACGGTATTGAAATTATGTTATTAAATGCGCATGTATCGTTCTTGATCTTTAAATAGTTGATTACAGAAAAAAAATCCGCAGGTGTGATCAATTCTGCGCTAATACTGGATCAACAATGTAAAACGTTGAGCAATCTGAAATTTAACGATTCGCAGATTACTTGAAGCAAAGAAAGATTCTTTATATCATTCCGGAACATTTTATTTATGAGAAAAAAATGTTTTATCAATTAACAAACAGTTAATTCCAATTGCCGTAGCTTCTTACAACGCTCGCGATTTTTTAAGAGAGAATATCCAGATTATTAGCTGCAAAATAAAATTTGGGATTACGAGTACGTGATATACGCTCCGATACATGCGATTCGGTTCACGTGATTCACATTTTCCATCAACCCGCAGACGCCGGAATTATGTTTGCGCATCGATGCCGTGCCGGGAACAGTTCGGCCGCTGCCGATCGATTGGTCGAAATATATTCCCGGACGGTGTAGTTCATTCATATGATACAATGGAATGCTGGCAGCATGCGCACACGTTCTGTTTTACGTTCTCGCGGTCGCGATTTTACACATTCACAAGTGAGTAAACACCGAAAGACGCACGGAGCCAGACAACGAAAGTGTCTTACTTTATCACTCGGCTCGCCTAGCCGCATAATTTAGCGGCATGAAAATTGCATTTTCTCCTTTGTGGAACAACGCAATTCAAATTAAAATATTCCACGCTCGCACCCACGATTCTGAAAAACTAAATTTTAATTCTGTCGAGTTTAAATTGAAAATTTGAATTTCTAATTCTGTCAAATTTAAATTGAAAACTTGCGGATCTTCAAATATGCATTTTTAATAAAAGTAAGATATTATTTAGAAAGTCAAAATTTAATAAGTCGATAAAAAGGTGAGAGCTAATGTATTTTTCGCTCAGCAATAACAGTTACGTCTCTAAAATTGCATAATCTTGAATTTTAATTTTTTTAATTTAAAAATTTTAATACGCATTTGAGCGAACTGTATTAATTCCAAGAAATCGAATCGCTCCGCACTTAATCGCCTGCTATTGTTTTCTTCCTGATTCTCACACATGACTGCGCCAAATTGAACACATGGTTAACGATGCGAAGATAAATCGTTCGCGGTATTAGCAGTTGCGTTCGCGATTAGCGTGTCTGTCAGACTCCAGTTCATTTTGCCGCAGAAAGATGCAAGCCACCACCGGTCGGGTGAAATGCATATTCGAGTACGGTCGTAGAAGGAAACATAGATAAAGTGCGTTTCAGGCTGTAACGCTTTCTAGGTATGCGCTTACGAAACCGCGGTCATTATGTCAGTTTCATAATATGTGACTGCTCGTACTTTTGATGCTCAATTTCCTCACTTTGGGCGTGAGATATTCATTTTCAATATTCTTCAGTACAGATCTAAGCGCTAGAGATGCAATTATACGCAGTCGTATTTCTTTCTTGCAGAATTTGAATAAAAAATTTAATGTTGCATCTGTTTTTTACGAGAAAACCATACAGTCTTTTTTACAATTAACATTATGCAAACAATGCAAAAAAATATAGTAATTCTAGTGTATATATGTATATACGTATATACATACATATTCATGCTTGACACTGATGTCAATGATACAAAGATATAAAATATGATTGTATAGAATTTATTCATCGCCTTCTGACGTCTTCGGCGGAACTTTACGATCGATATTGGAATTGCGCTGTTTTCTCTGTGGTTCTAGTTGATTAGTCACACATATCACTTATCATCTGCTTTATTTCTTTATTTTCTAACACATTCAGTTTTCTGACCGGCAGCTAATAGGCGCTTTCCAAAGCGAAGTCGTTACGGCGGTTTCGTAATGCGTAATTGCCGCGGCTTGTGCGCTTTTGATTCCCGACACGTGCGTCGCAATTGCATTGCGTACGTGGTTGAGGCGTTTTTCAGATACGTTACTCCGCGATATCTCGGGTCACTACGGCCGCTTGTTTACAAAGTGTTACCATATATACGGAAATGCGAAACAACGCGGTTGCTATCAGCGAGATCGAGCTATTTTCGTAATTAAAGCCGCGAAGGCGATCGTACATTGTACGGGGAAACACGGTCAAGCTTTTACATTCACCTGATAACCGACCGATAAGCATCGCGCGGCGTCACGAAATTCGCTTTTAATGGAAACTAAATTGGTGAACGTAAAACTCGCGAGGGAGAGGTCGCGAAACCATTGTGCATTTCGCCGCGAACGGTGCATAAATTCCGCGTTTATCTCCGCGAACTTGTGAATGAATTGCTCATATAAAACGCAGCAGTTGTGTTAAGATTTTATGTTGCTCGGCCATGTTATGCTTAATGTACTTCGTATTATATTTTAGCAAATATTTTCGAGTTGTGACTATGTCGTAAATTTAATAACAATGTAAAATATTTTATTATACCGATTATTTTTTACACGGTTGTTTAGCAGCTATAGAATATTTTTATGATATTATAAATTTTTTTCTTGTAAACTACCATACATTATTTTTTACTATACATAAGTATATGTTGTTATTGTTGCGCACTTTGTAAATATTTATTGATAAACTACAATTTATCTCTAGCATTCCGTATTAATTATACATTGTTATACAAAATATTTTGTAAAAGCGAAAAGAATACTTTACGCACTGAAGATTCAGGAAAGTGATTCGATGAATTATTCGTAGGATATTATCGTCAGATCGCACGTAACACGTAGATATGTAAACATCTATGTCGAATGGAGCGGAAGTTGGATTTAAATCTACGTCTTCAATTGGGAACGCGCGATAAACGCGATAAACGCGATAATCGAGTGCGTGAAGGGACGCGGAGAGAATCGGGAGAACGACGGGACAGACGTCACGCTTACATTACGATAATCGATGTACGATGAAGAGAAACGTTCTCTATTGATCGTAAAGCCGGATGATTTACGATTATAGGTGTTTGTAAACGAAAAATAATACCACACGTCAATTCCGCGTATGACGCAAGTTTCTTATCGCGGTATTTTGTCGTATGACCATGCAGTAATCGTAATCTACGCACGCGCTTAAGTACTTCATTGGGAAGTATTTTTTTGATGCGTAATTAAATCGGTAATTGTTCTTTGTTCGGAATTTGAGCAATTGCTGTCCTAAATACATATATAGTGTCATTCAAGCTTTAAAATTCTCACATCCGGCAGTAATTTTAATTAACTCTTAATTTTATTCAAAGTTCCGTGTCAGAGAAAATTGAAAAAATCTAATTAAGAGATACGTTGCACTGATTAGATTAAATTAAATTAAAATAGAATAAATTAGATAAGATATACTAAATTGAATTTTATAAGAATTTCAAATAAATTTGATTAGGACAATATGTAGCGGAAGTCCACTCATACAGACAACGATAAAGTTATATATATTTGCATATAACGCAATGATAAAAATCGCGATAAAGCAATCAAGATTCATAAAAATTTTTACAGCAATTTTTATTAGAAATATTATGAATATTTATTTTTAATTAAATTAAAAATTAGACTACACGAGAAAATTAAATCCAGAATTACAACTAGTAATATTCGAGTCAGGAAATTCCATTTACAATTTTATTTTTCTTGTATAATTTGATTTTTATGTATGTAATAAAAAATAATTCGTATTAAAAATGTTTCTGAAGCTTGGCTGCTTTATTGCATGCAATAGTTTTGTTATCATGCGCAACAGAATAATAGGTATCTATAAATCTAACAAATATATTAAGTGTTCTAAAAGTATTCTCCTATCGGTTGGGTCGGCATGTAATATTAAACAAGTCGCGCGAAACTATTTCAATGGAAGTCTTCAGATTTGCTTATTTGGTCGATTGCAGACCCCCTAGGTTCCCCGTTTATCCGGCGTATCGGCTATATATCACTGGTTAAGCACGGGGAATGCATAATGCGTATGCATCCAACCGTGCATTAAGTGTCACGACGCTAGTAAAAGCGCTGAGAAATCGGGAGTCCCACGGGATGTTTCGATCGCGTAAAAACGTGGCGCGCGGATAAAACGATCGTAAACCGGGTGATATTCGGGAGATTCCATCGAAATATTTTTGCGAGTAAACCGGTTGCTATTAGTAAATGTATCCGTTCGTGATGTGGCCAAAGAGTGGGTATTATTCGCGCGTTTCACCAGTCGTTCATTTCTAATCCTTCAGCAGCGTTCAATCGTAATACGGACCAATATTGAAAATTGTTATTTATCAATTACATATTATCAATTTGATATGTTAAACAAAGCAACCTAAACATTCATAAGAGCACGAACCTTTTCCTTCGATTGCCGTCTTTTCTTCTGTCTATTTACGAGTAAAATTTTTATCAATAATCTAAGCGAAAGGGAATTCAAAGAAAATCACGTTTATCTTTAATCAAAGCATTGCTTTTTTCCTCATTTATATGCAGTAATAAATAAATTAGAAACTAGAATCGAATTCTTTACTCGTTCTATCATTAATATTTAATGATAAAGATCAGTGGTTCTCAAGCAACCTGTCGGGCAACCCAGTCGTTTTTATCATCGAAATTGACGTTACACATACTTGCTCGAGATCTAATTATTCGAGAATCACTGATGTAATCTTCACCTTTTTTTCTCAAAATATCGAATTTGAGTCACTTAATTTATATTGTCTGTTTGTCTGATGATTACAGGAGAGAAGAGCATGCGGTATTAAAACAGAAGAACTGCGTAGAAAAGAGAAGACAAAGCAAAATAATTAAAGAAATGGAACGTAAATGGACTGAAGCAGTGTTTTTATTGTTAGTACCCTAAACTTCAATGGTCAAGAACCAAAAAGGAAACCTTAAAGTCGATTTTCCGGCATTGGATGCCGGAATGCCGCGCCGAATACGTCGCGGGCGGGCAAAGGGTGAAAGCATTTCGGAACGCATGAAGAAGTGATTATAAGAGAAGACACACGATTGCGGTACACGCCAACGTATCGTTGAAACGGTTAAGGTGGGTATAATATTTATAATTATAAAAACTAATCGAATGCAAATCCACGTTGAAAAGTTTTGTTCGTATTCATTACAGTGTACATATTTTTTTAAGTATGTCATCAATTATTTTGCTAAATTAGAAAAATAGCTCACAAGTTTAATAATATTGCGCCTAAAAAATTCACATTATTATTATTATGTTTTTTGTTATATCTTTATAATGTGATATTCTGTTTTTGATTTATACGAGTACACACATATATTCTCTCGATTTATTTCGAGTTGTTATTTTAACTTTCTCGTGTATGCTACAAACTTTGTAGCGCGTGATATACGAATATATATTTAATTATATTTAAATAATAAAATAATTTTTGGTTGGGGTTTTATGAGAATTAATTTATTTTATTATGATAAACATTAAAATAGTTTTCCTTAATAGGTCATAAAAATGTTCTAAAGTGGCTCAAACTAACACATCTTAATGATGTTATTTTATAATTACTATGTATTTAATGTTATAATAATATTACTGAATACGTTACTATTTTTATTGGAATTTTCGTGACTTTTATGATTTTAATATAAACAACATTTAATTAAAGGTTAACAGAACATTTATTTAAAGGTTAACAGAAAATTAACAAAATAAACGTAAAAATATTTTATGTCGGACGATTGCGCACGCTAAGGTCGATTGCACAATTCCATTAACGCGGCGAGTTTTGTATGGGCAAGAATAATACTTAATTTGTTCATTACGAATGACGCATTAAAATTTAAATTTTAATTGTCTCCAATGGGTCTGATATTTTAAAAATGTAGCTCGTAATGCGCGCGTTACGCATTACATATTTAAATTTTCATGGACAATTGGCCAGTCAGCAGCCATTAAAAATGTAATCTTTGATTCCTGGCTACTGCATAAAAGTTTCATCAATCTATATGCATGAATTATCAATAATATCATACGCATCATGTAAATTATAATAAACCAGTCTACTTAACGCCATCTTGAATGCATTTTCCTGTATTAACGCTTACACATTTTTGAAGAATTAATTACCAAAGCATGCATAAATTAATGCGTGATTTAATTAAATATAATTTATAAATATTAAAAAAAAATTTGAATAGAGATTACTATACAAAACACTGTCATTTTCAGGAACGACCTACAAAGGAACCACTCATACAGGAATCCATAAACAGCGACGTATATTTGGCAAATTATATAAACTGTTTCCTGAAGTCGGCTTCCTTTGATTTGTTGTTAAACTCGTTTTATAACGACGTGTTCCTATTATGCACCATAAGTACTATGAAACCCATTAAAGTAATATATCTAAAGTTTCCTCTCTACTTGCTTTTATTTGGACATTTATTCGCTTGCATTCACTTTTGACATTGCCTGTGGCCATTGCGACAGTCCGTTTGACATTTGGTGTCGAGTGTAACATCAAATTTAAACGCGTTGCAACTTAATTTTGGCGCAAATTAGGCCGCTCATCGCGCGATTCAGTCAAGGTCGCTGAAATCTCACGGGAATAGAGAGAGAGTAGGAAAGGGAGTGTACCGAAAGAGGGTAAGAGAGTGTTCCTACGGGGTGCCAGAGAGAGCACGATACCACCTCGGGCCGTCAATTCAAAGAGGACGGACGCCATGGCGGCTTCTTCGTCCTCGAGCGGCAACGAGCAGCAGTACTCTCTTAGATGGAATGACTTTCAGTCGAGCATCCTCAGCTCGTTTCGGCATCTAAGAGACGAAGAGGACTTCGTCGACGTCACGCTCGCGTGCGATAACTGCAGCTTCACCGCGCACAAAGTCGTTCTTTCGGCATGCAGTCCGTATTTCCGACAGTTGCTCAAGGTTAGTGCATTTTATGTTTTTTTTTTCCTACTTGTGTGTTGAAATATCCTCGAGTAAAAGTAAGTTAGAAATATTAAATGTGATTATATAAAATCAGCTAGAAATAATGCTCTTCAGTGTGATTCAGAAATTATCTACATGTTATTTTTATTGAAAAGGAAGATAAGTTCTATTTTAAGTAAAACATTTCTAAATTACAGCGCTGAATTATACTGCTACTTGTTTTTACGGATATTTCAACAATATTCTCTTTAACGTGTTATAATAAGCGAAAGTAATGTTAGGAATGTTGAAGAAATGAGAAAGCGAGAGAGATAGAATCCAGGCTACGGAAATTTTTTAACGACAATATTATGTTAACTAAAATGCAAATTGCAACATTGGAGACTTATAGGAATATAATTTTAGCTTGGTAAAGACTTACATTCTAATCATTAATTTGAGCTCACATTTGCAAAATCTGTTGGAAATTTCGCAGCGATGCATTAAACCGAGGAATATTTAGCGGTTATTGCATGTGCGAGCAATGTAACTCGATCGTAAAGTAGGAAAGTTGAATCAGAGTTGCAAACGACAATGTGTAGGAACGGCAACATTGTGATGGAGTGAAATTATATCTGATAGTCACAAACCGCATTATTTACACTCTACTTACGGAAACTGATATCTTCCTTGCTTTAAATATATCTGCGCTATGACTTATTCGATAAAATTTAACCATAATGGTTGTTTCAACGGAAATCAATGTGTTATTTTAGTGCAAAATAGTATCCAAAGAAATGTTTAATTCATGAGTATGTAGTAATAAAAAACTATGATTAGATTTTTACATAGCACTATAGAGAATTTTCCCAAATTGCTAGTTTTTTTTACTCTTGAAAAAATAGCTTTTGCGAGTAAAAAATATTGACTTCTCATGCAGACGTGCATAAAAATGGATTGTAAAATGTAATGTAATAAACAATAAGCTAAAAGAAGCGTAAGGCAAACCATGGCGGAAGAAAAAACTGAACAATTTTATATACGGTCCGCAGCACTTAAGAGTTAATTCGATCAATGTCTATTAATGTCCATTTTTGCGCCATTTCTCTCCTGTAATTGTATTTTCCGCCGCAATTTCTCTCGATAACGTCTCACGACAGAACGTAGTAGGTGTCAAGTTTAAATGTGACACGGTATTTATGATGACTACGAATACGTCATACAAAGTCAAATTTAGAACTGCATGTCATTAATTTTAGCCGCTCCAGTAATACTTTCTGCCTCCAGATCTTACGCTAATCTTAGATTGTTAATAGTGTTAGTGAGTGACGTTGATGTACATCTCATTCTGCGCTTCAACTTTCTATAATAAGAAATCCTTCACACGCTGATAAAATTGACAAACATCGTTGCTACGTGAAGCTAATGACAAAAAGAAGAAGTCAAAATTACGTTGACAGAAATTATCCTGATGTTATAAATATCTTTTATCATCGAAGCGTTTCCCTACTTTTGTTTATCGTCGTCAAAACAGATGGGCTTATTGAGGAAAAAAAAATAAAGTTTTTCCTCCTCGAGTAATGAAATCTTGTAACGCGCGGACCATGACACGTGTCTGTCAATTTGTAGTTAAGATCGAGATTTTTCTTTAATATTATAACAACCGCCATCATCTTTTCTACGACTAGTTAGTAGGCCCGTGTGCTTTACATGAACAACAAACGGTGGGGAACGATCTTTTGGTATCATGATTCCAACAAGGGTCGGAGGAGTCTCACAAGTTTTATACCGCTTGAACGGGTGGGTTAGATGCAAATTGCCGAGAGGGAACAAAAGGAAACGCGGAGAAAGAAAGTAGGCATTTCTCGAGGAAGGGTAGATAGAAGGTTAGATACCATACGCCATGAAGAATTCGTAAGTCGCGGTTTCCTGTTCGTTTTGATATCCCGAAAAAAGTAGAGATAATAGAGACAATGGGAGTTAATTTATAACTTTTGTTATGTTTTACATTAACATTTTGCTAGAAATCATAAATTTAATAAGGTATTAATTTTACAATTGCTTTTAACGCATTTAGCGACCATTACGAATGGTCAAATAATCAATTTCGCGTGTACTCATAATACAATATTGCCGGATGAAATTAAATTTGTTAAAACGCATGAAATTGAAGAATATCAACTTTGCGAGTTTATAATGGTGTTAAGAAAATATCGATTTAAAAGACGGATTTAGTTATAATATAATAAATATGTATGCGTATTTGCAGGATAGACACGAATGTTTTTATCGCTATTGTTTTAGAAATCAATGGATTTTTTTTTTTGTATTTCATCTTTTATCTGTTTTCCTTCGAGTTCGTAAAATACATTCTGATTATTCGGATAAAGTTAAAATATTCTATACACTTGTTAAAATCAAAGTGGTTTCAATTATGTTGTACTTCTTTTGAATTCTTCGAAATTAATCTTGATATCTTGTTTTTATTTGACACAAGCAACGCATGAGTGAATGGAAGTAACGCAAGAATCTCATTTCGCGTGTATTGCCGCAATCGCGAATTATAATAACTCTGATAGTAATTATGTATACCTTAATCGATTCGAACAAACGCGCAACAACCGGTTTCTTACCTCATAAATCGCGGACGTTACAAATCGTTATAAAATCATGGGGAACGATTGCAACTACACTTATTTCGCGTGTCTACTTTCCTCTCAAAGCTGAATATCAAAAAATACATAAATAGCTGCAATGCAATATTGGTTATGAAAGTAGCGATAATTAACATTCATGCAACGCTGCTTATTAGATTTTCTTTGACACATTGTGACATCAAAAGCGTAAAAATGAAAATAACACACACATTACAGGGGTATAATATGATTATAACAATTAAACATAATTGTAGAGATAAAACAATATTATGCGATATGTAATTTGATTATTTTATGTTTCTCTGTCAAGAGGAATCCACATCACAAATACGGGAATAATTAAATTTTCCCAAAATTTACTGTCAGACATTCCGCTAACATCTCCCGCGCCCTCTGCACATCGATCCGAGATCCATCTCACAGAATTGTCGGCGGCAGAAGGCAATCTCGCGATATTCGCGTGGCTGGAAGGAATCCACAAAAAAACTTCCGCTTTGATTTGCATAATATAGCGTGCGAGCCGTCGCAAGCGGAAATCTATCCTTTTCTCCATACGAAATATCATCAATCACTTTGACATGTCATCGCGATGTCGTCAATAATTCACATTTGTGATATCTCTTGGAGAACCTGTTTTCTTCGCGTGCATCATTGACTTTTACCGCCGCCTTCTCGAGACAGCGTTCTATAAATCTAATACTTTCGAACGATCTAGTGGGCGTGAAGAAAGTTCGACAAAAAGTTCGACAAATCGCGCCTTATTTTTTTTCACAACGCTAGCTTCCGCAAAAAAAAACCATACTACACCGAGAACGATAAGATCGCTATCTATGCTCATCACTTCCCGACTTCCTTTGCAGAAAGTGACATTAATAGAAGTCTAAAAATAAGTTTACAAGGCTATGTATAGTCTGATATATCTAGTTCTATTCCACAAAAAAATAATTGCAAAAGAAAAAATTTTCTATGTAATCAACACTTTATTTTTCAATCATCAACATGATTGAGATGTTTGCTCTATCGAAAAATTTTGTTGATTCAGAAGAGGACTTTAGAAATGATCAATCCGGTATTTTAATTGGAACGTTCGCAAATTAATCGTACGACATATAAATATTAGACAGACAGAGTGTACTTGTTCTTCACAATCACAACGTTTAGTTGGATCGTCATTCTCGATTGTTCTGCGTCCCGCCGTTATCGCCCGAAGAGCAACTTGGGCCGGGGTGAAGCAAGCGACTTTCTAATTGACGCGTACCACTAATTGATTTTAAGTGTCGGGCAGTACTCGAGGCGAGTTAATAAAGCTTTACACGCCGGCCGAGCTGTGCTTACGTCACGCCGGCTACGTGAACACACGACGATGGCGCGGGATTTCATGCCGTATCGCTTGAACCTCCCGGACACAATTACATTAAGGCCAGTCGACCTTAACAGCCTTCTTACAACCAGGCGGCAATAGGAGTTGCTATTATGCCGGCATTAATAGCAGACGCTTCACCGTATTACCCGCTTTTTGTTTGCCCACTTGCGCGATGACGTAGGATTCCGTATTGGTTTCGATGATCGCCTACTTATTGTTAGCGCATAAATAGCGCCGGTTGTAACGCTTACGAGCGATACGGCCTCGATCGCAGGCGCGATCGACGGGCGGCCATAAGAAGTCCATCCTCGCGTGTCTGTAAGAAATTTGGGAATTTCATGACTCCGTGAACAATAAAAATAAGATGAAATGTTTTTACAGCGTAGCGCTGCGCTGAATTATCTCGGTGGGAGTCGCAATAACAAACTCGCATCGTAACAACGTAGCGCGGATAAGCGTTATCTCGGGGCTATTTTTCCGGCAATATTTACCATTACTCTGGACACTTTATTATATCATTTTCATTTTATTTCCCATATTAATTATCGTGTAGCGTTAATCGATTCGCCGTTTGCTCGGCAAATACAACACGGTCCGATAAGCGTGCGTTCGCTCGCGTGCGCGATTTTATCCTTCCAAAAATATTTTCCAATTTGATTTGCCACGCGCGATATGTACCTAACGATAACGAAACTGCCCGAAAGCACTGATAGAGGCGCACCTGAACGACGGGTTGATTTATGCGACGACGATGCATCGACGCGTCGATTTACGGCATACTCGTTCATTTGACTATCAGCCAGAAGTCGATGACGAATCACCCCGGTTATCGAGCCGAACCCGCAATGATATTTGCCAAAATACGAATAGCGATTATACATACGCGTGCTTTGACGATAACAAATGCCGCCTCCCACCTCCCCCCCGCGATATGTCGCTCGTGCGTAAGCGACATCCTGTAAATCGCAATAGTAGAATCGATTGTGTTCCACGGGATA